CGCACGCTCGAGTTCAGGATGGGCTCCGCCGCGCACGCGCACGCTGTTGTTGTCAGATGCCGCGCATGCCCAACGCTCGGACGCCTTCAACACTCGGCCAATGGTACTGCAATCCGGCCTGATGCCGAAGCGGGTGAAAGACCAGCGGCTGAGATCGACGTGGCGCAGTTTGGGGTGGGCGACATGGTGGGCGCATATCGCCCGTTTGATATGCACGGCTAACTGGCTGCGGTGGTAGAGACGAGGCATGTTGGGCTCGCAGGATGTAGAGATTGATTGTCGAGTAAAAAAACTAGCCTATTTAAAGTGTAAACGTGTGCTGCTGACTAGGGCTTGAATGTGCGTTTGCAAGTGCTGTTGGTCGACCCATTGTCAGGAAACACGCATGTATGTGGCTTTGAATCGTGGCGTGAGGGATCTGTGTTACCACAGCCACTATGTGTGACGTGCGAGTTTTGAACAATGCTTGGTTATCAATGTGTTTGTACCGAGCTTGTGCAAGGTACACGTCAGATGGTTGCACCTCTCCTAAAATGTGTTTGACGCACCATGAACCTCCCTACGTGGCAGCCAGTCATCTGCGAAGTGACGCGCGACGTCAACGGAGTTTCAGCCTGTCATTTCGCGATGTTTGTCTCTGGCTAAGAAACACGGCAGACCCTGGTCGACTGGGTCTGTCTTGTACTACTGTTTGGGTGTTTTGGATTTTACCAACCTACCTGCAAGTGGTTTGGGGGGCTTGTACACGGGGTGCAACCTCTAGGGTAGCGTGTAAACGCGGGCAGGGCATCCAAAATGTGCAAGGCAATTTCGCGTGCAGGAGGTGAGCATCACCTGTACGCATTGTACGATTATTGCGCGCTGTATCTTCAGCACGACCGAGAAAAATCTCGGTTGTCCGTGTGGCACTGGGGGAGGGTGCTCGGGATTTCAGCTGACTCACGGGAATGAAAATATTCTCGCGTAAGTCCCCTCGCTTTGCGGAATCATTTCGATGGAGGTACATTTCGGTTACTCCGAAAAAAAAAAAAAGAAAAAAAAAAAAACTGAAAAACATAAAAACCGGTAAAAAACGTTATAGAACTGTGAGCTCGCATGAGCTCATTAGAGCTACATTGGAGTCATATGAGTGCACACATTTGAGTCAGCAGGGGCAACTATTACAAGTACAGTTTGAAGACAGCTTTTAACAAGAGGAGGATATAGTCAAATGCTCAAGAAGTTGAGCAACCGTTCTCAAGTACAGTGTGGCGAAATCCTGCGAGCTGGTTAAACAACTGTTGTATGCTTTCAAAATCAATCCAATGCATTCGCGTTTTTTCAAGCTTGAATTCTACTACTTCGTATTGACGAGTGTAGAAACGTTGTTAGTGCTGCCAGAACTCTGCTCGACCAGTTTACTCGTTCTATAAGCATAAGCAAGGGATAACTACTCACTTGCGTGTTTTCTATGCCATTGGCTGGGATGTGACAAGCTGTCACACTCGAAGGGCTGCAGATGATGTCAAGTGTTGCTTTTTTTTTTTTTTTTTGTTCAAGTTTAATCGCTTCCGCATAACGTTCTAGCAGTCAACACACACCACACACACGGATCGCCACAGAAACGTTGTTTGATATCACTCTAGGGCAGGGCGTCCAAGAGCATTGATTGAGTTACTTGATTGCCCATTCATGCAATAACGTTGTGGCACGACCGATCGTGCATGGACCCTCTATGCAGAAACTGACGACCATGGGATGAAGAAGGTGCTCTCATCGTACGAATATGCTATAACCGACAAGACAGTGCTGTAATGCGAGGACGACTTCGCCAAGCACTACACTCGTGGCGCTCCTGGTGCGACAGTAGCCTCATCCTGTCCATCATCTTATATAGATATTGGTTCCCATAGAAGGATGGGCCCCCGACACTCTTCAAAAGGAAAAACCACGCAGGCGCCCAGGCGATGCCATCAAAGAGCTCCTCCGAACGGGGGCGGCAGCGGAAGCTCCCGACCGGTCAACCCTGCTATGCATCAACCTACTGAATGTGGTGGAACAGCGGGAAAAGTGTCGTCTCATCCTCGACCTGCGAAAGTTCAAGGAGCACTTGCACAACCCCAAATTCAAATAAGAAGGCCTCTCTCGGGTAACGGAGTTAATCCAACCGATCGATTGGATACTCTCCGTCGACCTCAAGTTAGGGTATCATCACGTGGACATCCATCCCACCTGCTGGAAATACCTTGGATTCCAATTCGAAGACAACTACTACCTCTTTCGATCCCTCCCATTTGGTCTGGCCACTACTCCATTCATCTTCACACAACTCATCAAACAGCTCGCCCGACAGTGATGAGCTCTCAGGTGGCATGTTATTCCATATGTTGATGACATCCTGGTTCTGGCAGCGTCAGCAGAACACGCGCGTGGCACATGCGCACAGATCGTAAGGGCCCTTAGGGAGGCTGGCATTGTAATAAATAAGAAGTCTCGCCTGGTCCCCACACAAAAGCTCCGCTTTCTCGGACTCGAGTTGAACACACAAGTCGGCAGATTTCCTGTAGGAGAAGAAAGACGCTCCGTCTTACGAGCCACAATCAGAAATCTCATCGATTCAGGACGCGCTGGTCACCAAGTGGACGTTCGTCGAATTGCCCGAGCGACTGGGATGCTTGCTTCCATGAGCCTTGCTTTGGGGGCGACATCACGAGCCTTCAACCACGAGCTACTACAACCCATCAGCAGCGCAACCTCATGGCACTCGAAGGTGTCGTTATCAACAGAGGCAATCCAGAAACTTTGCTTCTGGATGAAACAATTCGACAGCTTCAACGGTGCCCCATTCCACCATCCGCATCACTACAACACCATCATCCAGATGGATGCTATTGCGCACAGCTGGGGTGCCACCCTCTCCACTTTTAAGGGAACACCGAGCAACGCAAGCATCGGCATGCCTGACAACCTGTGGCCAACCTCTAGCACACGATGCGAGTTGGAAGGTGTACTTTGGGCGCTACGCACCTTCATGGACCATATTTGACATGGCCACACGTTCGTCCGCATGGATAACCAGGGAGTCATGTTCATCCTACGAAAAGGCGGCTCTCGCAACAACGAGCTCACACTCACTTGCAAGGAGATCATCACTCTATGCACGGACAACGCGGTGCGACTAGCAATCGAATGGATCCCACAGGATCAGAACACCTGCGCAGACGAGCTATCCAAACTGCAAGACCACGATGATTATACGTTTAAACAGCCTTGGTTCAGCCTCTTGGACCGTCGGTGGGGCCCTCACTCCATCGATTAAATCGCAAATGCACAAAATGCATTGCTGCCTTGCTTCTTCTCTAAAGTCCCACATCTACTAGCCGAGGCCATCAACGCATTCTCCCAGGATTCGCGTGGAGAATGGGCTTTGCATTTCTGCCCCCTCACCTCATCGCTGCAGCCCTCCATCACGCGCGACGTATTCGGGTAAACCAACCCTCGTGATCCCCCAGTGGTCAGGAGCGGCCTGGTTGCCCCTCGTGCATTCTCAGGCGCTCGATTCCCCAATAGTCCTATGATTGCATTGTCAGTTGACTTCACGATGTAACTTATATGTACATATACTTCATGTATGGCAGAGATTTTATCCAACCTTCAAAAGCAGCTTCTCTCGGTGATCAGCCAAGTACGAGCACCTTCCAACATCCGCACCTACGACCCCTACTGACGAAAATTCTGATCATTCTGCAACAAGCTATCACTGAGTTATCTTCCGGGTACGGATATGACACCTGCGCTGTATTTGGTTTACGCCCTCAACAAGCACGCCACGTTGTCTGCCATCGCCCTGACCTACTCGGCAGTCGCCTTCGCGCACAAGATGACTGGTCTAACTTGCTCCACGAACGGTCCCTTCACCTCCCAAGTTTAGGAATTCGCCACGCGCCACTCCCCTCGCCACACGTACGAAGGCCATGATCAAACGAAGACCTATCACACGTTTTTTTTTTTTTTTTTTGTTGCTTGCTGGTTTCACACACCCAAGTGCAGCCCATCATTGGCCTAAGGTGCCAGTTAGAAGCAAAACAAGCAAACGCTTGCATAAGCAACCTTACATCATGTTAATAGCAATATCTTGCTAAGTTACACACATGCACCAAGACTAATAGCCACTCGGGCTCCTCCGAGGCCCCCTTGGCCCCTAAGTCCTTCGGGCTACATCTCAGCCAGAGCCCCTTGGCCCTTAGGTCCTTTGGGCTGCTCCTCAGCCTTGCACCCCCTGGTGCAGCCCCTCTTATGTCCCATTGGCATAAGGGGAAGGGCGCCGCCCTTTGGTCCCTCACACCACGGGTGTGGGGCCTTGGCCTCCACGCCCCCCTATAGGGCAAGCGTTCGCCATGTGGCCAGGCTGGTCGCAACGAAAACAGGTGCCCTTGAAGGTCCTTTCCTGGCAAGGGCCCTATCTGGGGCCTTTATTACCGAGTTCGCCGGCGTTGATGCCACTCCCGCGGGTGGGGCGGTTGTAGGTCATTCGGGCGGCCTTCAACGTCGCCACGTCGGCCACTACTAGCTTGTTGGAACAGGAGGTCAACACACTCTTGGACTGGTAGAGCTGGAAGTGGTCAACCACCTCGAAGCTCGCCTCGTCCGCCACCAAGAGTACCTCGAAACGCTTGTTAATGAGTGATTCGATTTGGGCGATGTTGGAGCGTGCGCCTCCCGCGTTGCCTTGCTGAAGCTTGAACTCGATGTGCTTGAGGTGGGCCTGAATAGCAGAGAACACCTCTGTCTGGTCGCATACGCCCTTGCGGTTGAACGTAGTGATTGCAGGTGTGGGGTTGAGAGGGCGGAGCGTGGAGCAAGGAGCATGGGTGAAAATTGGGTTGTGACAGCGAGGAGAAGCCTCACCATCAGCGTCATCTGACTCGTCGCTATCGTCGTCGACGGGCGCCGGGGCGGGTTCCTTCTCGATGCGGGCAGTCTTGGGAGGGCGCGATGCGGCGACGGGGGCTTCTTCTTTC